CAGCTGTGTACTGACAGCATTCCTTTACTTAAGCAGTTTTTTTTTTTTGGACTGTTTTTTTTTTTTTTTTTTTCGCCCGCTCGCACCGATTTTGGGGTCCCCAGAGGATGTCATCCATAAAAATAAAAAAAGTGTGGCCTTAAGAGGCGTCTGAGAGACGGCACTACAAGTTCGTTCTTTGAATCTTAGACATAATAACGAATTATTGTTATTATGTCCAAGTTGAATCTAGTGGCCAACATATTGGATCAAACTTTGAATTTTGATCCAAGTTTAAATAGATTCTTATATTAAGAAGTTGGATCAAATTTTGAATCAAATAGCCGCGGAGCATATTTAGTTTTGTTATTGTTCAGCAGACCAGTGGGACCAAAGGGTGGTCGTTTTGGACTCGGACGGTCAGTTTTTGAGACACGTGGTTAGTAAACCTCAAGTCGAGCGGCCAGTGGCTGTGGCCGTTGACCATAGAGGACATCTTCTGGTGGCGGAATATGGAGGACGGGTGAAAACTTTTCGTATGTTGATTAAAGCAGAATCACATTGCAGAGTCTTAGGTTGAGAAAAAAATAGGGGGGGGGGGCAGCAGTTGAAGACAATACATCAAGCAGTTTATTTTTTAGGCATGTGGTGTATACACTTTTTGACTTTGGCGGAAGGAAAAAGAAGAAATGTGCAATGGACTGGATAGACTACAAATGTCCTACCCAAACCACCTTCTAAACACCAGGTGCACATTATTAAAAACCAATCTGTATATCATCGTTGACGTTTTTCTTTTATTTAGAATATATCGAGATATTGTTTCGCCGAAATGAAAGAGCGGTTTCATGATTTAGGGAATTTGGGACTCATAAAAAGACATCTACGCCAGTGAACAAGATATATGTCATTCTATAGGTGCATAATAAATACAATACTTCATCGCAACCTCCCGTTTTTTTCTTACTGATTCAGGTACTTAAAGGGATAACAACTCTTCAAATGAAATCTATATTTCACAGTTAATGCATTGTAAACAACTCGTCGAAATATAATATATTCTATTTAACCACAAAAAAGACATTTAGAGCAATAAATCTAAAACCTGTGCTTGCCATCCAACCACGTGACCTCCACAGATGGCTTTACTTTGTAATAATCTCTTAAGGGATTATTACAAATAAATAAATAAATAATAAAATTTAGAAAAAAAATTGAAAAAAAAGGGGACTAACTTTGAATGTAGAAATGGATTCATTAACCATTGGTAAGTATGGAAAATTGCTGTTTACCCCAGGAAAGATTTTATCCCTTTAATATGAACGAAAAAAGAAAATACTTGCATTATAAAGGTATCCATTTGAAACACTGTATTTTGAAAACATTGGTCGTTTTATAATCAAACAAACGTTAATTACACTTTAACCTTCAATTGTGCACAACAGTTGATTTTATTTCTATTTCAAAATAAGGTAAAATCCCATTACATTTACATGCCTCAATGGTCGTAGAACACTTCAAGAGTTTTATTGTCTGAAGAGCCTGAAAGAGGCAAAAACGTTTTTGAAGAATAATTAACCATTCCGATTATTATGTGACTGGTTATATATATATATATATATATATATATATATATATATATATATATATATATATATATATATATATGATATGTGACAAAAAGAAATAAAAAAACAGCAGTTATTTTACCCTGACCAGTTTCATCACATCTTCAAAACCCCAGAAGATGCAATGAAACTGGTCGGGGTAAAATAACTGCTGTTTTTTATCCTTTTTGTCACACACACACACACTCACACACACACACACACACATATAGTAAATTCATATATGTATAAAGAGAAAGAGAGTCTCTCGATCTCTCTCCACACACACAAACATGTTATACATGACATAGCTGTTAACAATCTGGTGTCTCCTATCAGTCAAGAGAGTAAGAGATGTCAGCGTTTGGGCAAAGTTAAGTTCATTTTTTGAAGGAGATACAACTGGAATTTACCACCAGGTGCTTTCTCAAAGCCCTAGATTATCACTCAAGGAATGACTTATTGAGCGTAAAGTATTTCTTATTCCTTGTAATGGGTTCCATCGCATGGTGACATGTACACTGCCCTGCACTGCATCTCCTTCAGCCCCGCCCCCCTCCTGCAGCTCTCCACTCCCACCCTGATGCCCCTCCTCCTCCGCCTTAGCAGTCCATTCTTCTGGAACAGGTGGCGGGCTCTTCACTACAGTCATGTCAATACTACCAGGGTTCGATGGGGGTTCTGCTTGTGAGAGTTCACCTAACAGCTGCCCCATGTCTCTTGGTGCTGAGGCCTCACGTGTGTTGAATTCAGAGCTGTCTTCGCCTGCCTGCAGGTTCAAAGACATGGGAATGTGGCCTGGTGGGATCGTCTGTTCTGGCGGAGAAGGTTCATTCTGCGCATTCTCATTATCAGCAGCAGCCTCGGGTGTGTTTTGTGGATGATTGCTTCCCAACTGTGCCCCTGGATCTCCTCTAACGCAATCAATTGGCCCTGGCTCATCTTCTGAAACATCGTTGCCTGGGACTTGCCCTTGATTGTCACCATCATTCCCCAGATTGTCAGATTGTGCACTTATCTGGGCACTGGCAAGGTCATCTTCTAGATCGCCCAAGGAGTAGGTAGGGGGTACATCCAACGTGGGAAGTGACGCATCTCTCACATTAAGAGGTGATCGAGCAGAGCAAGACAAACTGGGTGCAGGGTCAAGGTTGTTGCCATGATGGGTAGGGCTAGGATGTACGGACTGGTAGCTGTCTGTGTACCCCTCACCTATCAAAATCAGAGATAATAATAATAATAATAATAATAATAATAATAATAATAAATTAATTGATTGATTAACTAGGAAAACCACTTGGGTCACCATTGCTGTCCATTATTAAGTAAAAATCTCTTACATGTTATCTCCTATTAAAAGTAAAACTTTACCATAGTTGGGAAGTGTCACAAATTGTGCCATTGTTCATATAACCCAGCATATGCAAAATCCAACTAGGCATAAAATCATAAGAAAATGTTTATATAGTACTTCACATAACAGGTTTGCATACCCTGCATGAGGCAGATTTCACTTACTTTGGATTAAGTTGTAAACCCAAAATGTTCATTTTATATTAAAACTATATCAGAATAAACTAATCATACCAGCAGGATCAATGTATTTCTGCTTGGACTCTTGCTAAAGTCCAATTAATTCAATCAGCGTAATAGTCTGACATGCTTCCTCAACCGGCTAAGAGGTAACGAAGGGCACATTCCCATAGATTTTTGATCGATATATCTCCGTGGGGAGTCTCACTAGATTACTGTCAGATAATCCGGCTTAAATGTCCGTCCCGCCTACTACAAGATGTAAGGGGATAATTAACTTTTGTGACCGCTCGGCTGACAGCTATTTAGCGTGAACCCTCAGGGAGTTAGGCCGATCTTGTTGGATCAATCTAATCTCTGGGAATGGGGTCTAAGTCAAGCGCACGCTGAAGTAAGTTACCCCCTAGCTTCTGAAGGGGGCATGCCAGACACTTAAGCTGCACTTTGAAAATCCTTGCAGAGATAGATCGGATCTGCTGGTACCATAAGTTTATTCTGATCACCCCGTAAAAATATAAAGCTCACCCTGGTCTTCCACGTCTGGAGTAGATGGACCCTAGAAAAATTTATAAAAAGAAAACTTTTAAATTCCATCATTGACTTATTGAAATAAATCACATACAAATAATTCTTTAAAACA